GAGAGAGAGAGAGAGAGAGAGAGAGAGAGAGAGAGAGAGAGAGAGAGAGAGTTTGCCAGCAGTGGTGCACGACACCGAAGGTGATATCTCTTATCTTATCGTGCTCGACGTGGGAGCGGCCGAGCCAGCCGCGCGCCTGGCGCGACACAGAAGAGGTGAGGTGCGATATGAATCACGCATTCCGTTGCGAAAGCCCTTCGCCTGCCCCGTCATGAGCCCCGTCTTTATTTACCTTCCTCGAACGCGTCGCCCCGCCGCGCTGCTTGAACGCCGCGTGACGTCAGAGCGGCTCGTAAATAGCCGCGCAACGGACGAGTGCCTTACTTGAATCCGCCGCGCTTATCCGGCCCGCCCGGCCCGCCCGGCCCGCCGAGCATCCCCTGAACAGGTTTCCTCGCGGGTCGGCGCGCCCGCCAACTTCTAGCGCAGCAGCGTTTACTCAGCACAGCGGCATGGGCAAACCGCTGAAAATATAGAAGTGACGAAACCCATATATACACGGTGAGGCATCCGTGTCTATTATCAATCTATATTTGTTGTGTGTGAAGTCAGTGTGAAGTGCCTCTCATCACTGTGGAAATAGACGTAGGTTTACGGGATGACGTTCCATGACGTCTGTCGTAAAATAACAATTTGAAATTGTAAATTATTCAAAAGAATTTCGTATCGACTTAGAATTGACCGCGGTCAATTGTCGCGACAAGCATAGAATGAGCAGTCTCAAATTTACAACTTATTTGGCAGATAAACATTACGACAAATGTTGCAATTTTACGAGGATATTTTTCATAGTACATCCGCGAGCAAAGCATTGGCGTCTTCTGTATTTCAGTGCCAAATACTCGGTGAATGTTTGCAGAGTCGTTCAAAGTTCCTAAGTTCCTGAAGCACCCGCTCCTGTGGAGCTGCCAAGTTCAGTCGTCATAGTCTTTTGGTTGGCTCCCACTGTTGCTCAAAGAAAACTGCTGCTGGCAACACCTATTTAATTGTTTTGCGCGCCCGCGAGTCGAAATGTCGTGTTTGTGGGATTGTCGCTGACGCAGGGCTCGCTCGCGGCCCTCGCTGGTGGAAGCACGCTGCCGAGCTAGCCGGCTGCCGCTGGCATATCCTGAAAATCCGACTTTATTTTCGCCAGAAAAAAACAACACAAATTTGCGGAAGAAAAAACGGGAGGAACTTGGGATAGGAGAACCGGTTAATGGTTGAAAGAGAAGACGATTTATAGGTGGGGCACCGTGGGGCACACATAGAGAAAAGATGGTTCAAACCTTCCAGTGCTGCTCCAGGTGGTTATCCGTTCAGATGGGTAATCCTTGTCGTTGATCGAAGAGTTTGGGCTGAGGGGAGTGCACTGACTGGGCCGCTGGGGCCACCAGACAAGGCCTTGGCGCACTGATCCACTGACTGGCGCACTCTCACTGGGGCACTCACTGGCACACAATTGCGCTGGACACGCTGACACACTGACTCTGACACGCTCTCGCACACTGACACACTGACACGCTCGCACACTGACACTGACGCGCTTCGTATCGCGAGCCGGGCCACGTCCGCCTGGCGCTCGGTGTGTATGCGGCTGCTCCGCTCTGCGCTCCCCGTGCGACTGAGCCTGGCCGGCGGGGCGCCGCGACGCCTGGGGCCCTCTGCCCCGCCCCACCCCGCCCCAC